CAGCACTTTTGTCAAACACATCAGGTATCCCAGAATTCCCAGCAGCTATATTTGGGTGTACATTCTCAGCACAAGCATTGTATGCAGAATTCACATTTCCTCTATTTTTCCCTTTGAAACCCGGAGGATATCCAATGATTTTGTAACATCCATCTTTAGTGTATCCTTTCATCTTGCATAACTCGCATTGAACATTACAATTTTTCTTAGTCCTTTGATAACTCTGGTAGTTGTCTCCCTTACCAGCTAATAGTCAGTAGACTCATTTGCATCACCATTCATAGAAGACCATGTTACTGATCTCTGACTTTTTTGTTCAATTAGCATAGAATATGCCTTGTTGATATTTGATGTGGGACTAGTCATCAAAAATTGGCTCCTTGCTTGTTCATAGTTCTCATTCAGCCCCATGAGAAATTGTAGAACCTTCTGTTATCGCATAAACTCAACAAACTCCTTAGACCTAGCACAGTCACATGGCGGCGGAACCATACTGTCAAATCCATCCCAGAGATTGCGAAATTTTGAAAAATAAACTGAAACACTATCAGTTCCTTGAGTGACTGTTGCAATCGCCTTATACAATTGATACACTAGCGACGTATTCACTTTATCAAATCGTTCTCTTAAATCTTCCCAAACTGTTCTAGCATTTTTTGCATATAGTATTCCTATCACCAATTCTCTTGACACCGAGCTCATAATCCATCCTAGAACAATGGCGTTACATCGATCCCACTGATGACCTAGTTCCTTGTCAAAATCCTCCTTCTTTAGAGTCCTATCGACTAACCCTAGATTATTCTTCCCGAGAAGCTGGATTTCCATTGCCCGACTCCAGGTAGAGTAATTCTCTGAACCAGTCAACTGTATTGATATAATCAGAGCTCCGGTAGTGTCTGATGGGTGAAGAAATAATATATGGTTGTGATCGAGATCTGGTTTCGCCATTGTCAAACTTTGGAACTGTAATTCTCCAACAATTTGAGCTTGAAACATATGCAAAATTGGATAGGATCAACAAATTTGACTCACAATTACGGTCAATTGCTCTGATACCATCTTGATTTTAGGGGCAATTGACAATGAAGAACCCTAACTGTTTGCTCTGAGAAGAAACGAGATGAAGACGAGATAACCTTCTAGAGAGAATTCTTTTTATTGAATTATGAATGAATGTATAGTATTATAATGATAAAGGTTCCTATGTATACACATTTGTAATAACAATAATCTAACCTCCTAACTAACTCTACGTGTACAACTGACAGCTACTGTGTAATTATCCACTAACTACTTTCAGTGCTATTTACAAGTTTACCCTTGCATACATGTATTATATTACACCTATTTCATCAATACATTCAGACCTCTCTGTCACGCTCCAACCTCGGGGAGAGCGACCGGCGCTCAACCGAGTGAACCCGGTCGAGCAAGCCTATTAAACCTTTCCTACCCGACTCATTCATAATCCAAAAAGGGAACACATCACCATTTATAAAACAGGGGAGAGATCAGTTATACAAATATATAAACGTTGCTAGTTCATTTTTTCTTATATACATTATGCCATAGTTGAGTTTCCAAAATACAACTCGATCCAACGACCACCCCAACATATATACATGACCCACATAAACGTCTACAGAGCCTCTAAGGGTACAAAAGAGCAACATGATAATGCCGGCAATAAGGCCCCGGCTATACCTCAAAATATGAAAACTTATACAAAAGAAGAACTACATGACTCCTGAGAGAAATGGGGCTCACCAAGACTATTATGAGGAGAGAAAGAGAGCACCACTATCTGCGATCGGCACTATCTGTGATGAAACCACCTACATCCATTCAAAGATGTAGTGCCCCCAGCAAAAGGGACGTTTGTACTGTCGAATAGTACTAGTATGTAAGGCAAACACCAATCTTAGTAGAATGAACAGTGAAACAAAGAGAAGGCAGTCATAATAATCAATAAGTACTTCACAGAAATACAAAGAAACACCAAGTAAGGATCACATAGTTTCCAATTCAATTCTTCCATCTTTTAGGTTAATAATCTTTAGTGCCAAAGCCACAACTCACAATGCCACCGTATTTTTATACGGAGTCCGGTCTCGGACCGACCGGCTAAGCCGTCTCAAGTGAGACATACCCATATCCACAATGTAAATCAATAATTCCAACACAAATGCCACCATGTGTACAGCATGACGTCCGATCTCGGCCCGATCGGCTAAGCCATCTCACTTGAGACATAACCTCTTTCAATTATTTACTCAATTCACATTTCTTTCCCATCTTTCATTACATGGCACAAACAACCTTATTTATTAAGTAGTCCTTGGCATTTGGGAATATTTTACAATTCAAGTCTTTCCCTTTTTTATTCATTCAAATAACATCATAATGCATGTCGGTAAATACCATCACATAAGGCATTGCACACATAAGGGAAGGAGCTTGAAAAAACATAATTACGTTCTCAAATAGCATGATGACATGGTAACCATCTAAAACAATTAGGAAACATAAATTATTCAATCCCAACACACTAAGGCAAACAATTCTAGTATGACCAAGTTGGAACTTACACCAATTATTCAGGCACTAGGAGTCCGATTCTAAGAAGAAGAGAGTTAGCCATACATACCTCAATTGCGCTTCTTTAGACTCTACAATTATCCGGAACCCTTAGCAACCTCAATTTATTTTAGCAATATACAAATTGAACCCGGAATTAGGAAAACGTTCATGGTTCTAGCTCACTTTTTTCCCACACTCTTTATCACACATGCATGCAAGATAAACCACCCTCATACCCATGAAGTATCACACTAGGATCCCATTATAGCTATGTTTGAAATTAAGAGCTGGGGTGATGAAGTTTAACCTTTTTGGATGAAGAATTTGGTGCTCTACTTGAATATTTCCAAAGCTTTAAGTGATGATTGAAGATCAATTTGATGAAAACTTAGGCCCTCCCTCTAGAACCCTCTCTCTCACTCTAGAAATATCATAAATGAGCTTCAAAATAGACTAAAGGGGTGTTTTAACGGAATGGGGGTTGGGTTTTAAATTAAGAAAAAGGGTGCCCCGACACAGGTATGCGGTCGCATATGCGACCGCATAATGGTTATGCAGTCCGCAAAGTGACCGCAGAAATGGCCCTCAGGGGCCTGAACTTTAGGCTCAGATAAGCAACCAGTATGCGGTCCACATACTTGTTCTGCGGTCGCATAATGCACCGCAGAACTCCCTCCGCAAAAACCCAAGAGGAATTATGCGGCCAATATGCGGTCCGCATATCGATTATGCGGTCGCATAATCGACCGCAAAGATGACCTCAAATTGGCCAAACTTTCTGCTTCACTCTGCGGCCATTATGCGATCCGCAAAGTGATTATGCGGCCGCATAATGGGCTGCAAAAACGCATTTTTCTGCGAATATTTTTCTCTAAGTCCGTAGGGTACTGTTCAATCCAAAAAGTCCGAACCACGGCTCGCAAGCTCGCCGCGAAAAATTTCTACTATAATAACGCAGGAATCTATCTTGGCACCACGAAACCCCGAGTTTTTTGTTAAAATTTTTACGGGTCCTTACACTCTCTATAACAATATCCATATATAACAGTCATTCACTATAAAAATAAATTTTTCTCAGAACCGATTTTTTAAGTTATATTTTACTTCTCTTTAACAGCTTTTTACCTATAACAACAACAATCATATTTATAGCAGAACACTTTTTGTAAAATTACCCCTCTATAACAGCCATATAGAATCATTAAGATTACTATTAATAGATTTAAAAATATGCACATAATCTTTTCCATCAAACAAAGTTTCTATCTTACATAAGATATAAGATTTCAAGATTTGTACATGATATCTTTTTCATTGGAAAAATGTCAAAAAATATTTAGATAGAAAATTTAATTGTTAAGCTCTTAGATTGTCTTAAGGGAAAGCTATTGGAAACTTTTTTGCTGAAAATTTGGACACGAATCTTTGCCAATTCAAACGTTATATCACTAGTAAGAGAATAAATCTATAAAATAAGCTACAATTATAAAATTCTTCCATCAATCTTGAAAGAATTTATTTTTTAGGTAGCTTTAAAATTTCTGCCTTAGAGTTTAAAATCTTTATACGTTTAGTTATGAGTTTATTAATAATGTATTAGCTTTTTTCAATATTTAACTAGTGAAATATACATATCTTTTGAGATCGAAAAATAATTAATTTTTGGATAATTTTTATCTATAACAGCTAAAAAAATATTTAAACGTCAAATATTGTTATAGGTGTATAATAACAATTTACTATAAAAGCTAAAAAAAGGACTACTTATTTTAATAAATTAAATCATGATATAGTATAAAGGACAATGGAAGAAACTTTCACAACGGGGATGTGGTACTTCATCACAATATCAAAGAAATACTACTTATTTAATTGCAATTTTAATGATCTAGCTAAATAAAATCAATATTCATTACTTTTAGAAATTTACACTTGTTTAATATATTGTTTATAAACTCAAATGCATTGTATTTTAATAAACTCAAATGCATTGTATTTTAAAAAAAAAGATTAGACCACGTATTCTAAGACTAGTAATAATAAATGTCCAATGTAAAGCTAATGAGTTTATTTATTCTGTGAATTATGATCTGTTCAAAGGAGGCGCTGTTAATATATAGAACCTAGCTAGCTGAAATCGTATTAATTAATGGTCAACCCAGATACAAGTGCAACTTTCAAACATCTATATATGTGAGATGCATATTCTCAATCTAAGAAGAAACTCAATATTAAGGAACTTATAATTTTTTTTTTCTTGCATTTGTTGCATGGATTCATCTACCCTGACAAATTCACGCCTTTCCTTCTCGAAATCCTAAAAAAATTAAAAAGAGCGAACCTCTTATGTTCTTCCCCTTTACTCTGCAAAATTCAAGAAAGTATGCATTAACATGAAATCCTAAGGAATTAGGCTATTTGACAAAGTATAACTCCATTCTCATTTAATCAGTTAAAAGTTCACATTTCAATACATAATATTTTACAATGTTGGGGTTCTAAAGTAAAACACAAATCTAACTCAGAAGTTACTATAATACAGAAACCCATAGCCTTTTTTACAAATGATCCAAATTATATCTCAGTAGTATAAGTTTCACCAGACTTTCTTCGGGCCCATAAGCCCAAGAACTTCTTCCCAAAGCCCAACATTTCCAACATTGGACAGCCCAATTACACTTGGACTACAAGCTGCTACTGTCCAATAACCAGCCTTAATCTCATCCCTCAATTGATCTCTCTCCCATGCACAATACCCATCAAAAAACCTAAAGTTTTCAAGTCCAACTACATCCCTTTTTACCATTTCAGCAGCACATCCCACACTCTCTTTTGTACCATAATACACATTCTTCATTACTTCATCAAATACCCCACTTTTCCCAAGCCCATCTTCTACTTCTTCATTTGGGCTTACTAAAAAAAGCCCTTCTTCTAAAGGCCCACCAAAGAACAACGGCCTATTCGCAAATGTCCCGGACATGTCCAATACCGACGATCTCATTTCTTTGATTGACATAAGTGATGGCCTGTTGAGAATTAAGCCCGTTGGGCCTATTGGGCCCATTGACAACAAGAGAACTACGGTCCGCTCGAAAATGTGGACGCCGTCGAGCTTTTCAGTGGCGATGAGCAAGCAACCTTTCTCTGGTTCGTGAATGGTGTGAGCCCATTTGCTACCAATTGTGACGGCCGGAGGTGGCGGAAGATCGTCGACGGTGTCGGGATTGACGACGGAGGAAGGCTCTTCTGACCGGGAAGCTTTTTCTCCGGCCACCAATCTTGCTCGAAATGATCTCCAATCCGTTTCAGCAAAAGGTCTTTCTTCATCTTGAGGTGAAGGTGATGGCAATGATGAACTTGCCTGACAACCTACAAGTACAAAGTTTTCTCAGGTTTCCCAAAAATACCATCTTTTTGTAGTTTCCATGAACCAAAAATAGACGATGCAGAAATTTTTCATTAGATTATCTAAAAAAGTGAACAAATGAAAAACTTTAGGCTGAAATAATTCCTTTTCCAAATGATTGAAATTACCCCTAACCCCCCTGAGTTATTGTTCTCGAATCACAAATTAAAATTAGTTGCTTAAAATGAGTGTAATCTTATTATACGTGTATACTTGAAATTTCTTTTTCTTCTCATGTATACATAGTAATTGAACCCGCAGACTCCGCCCTAGATCTAGCTCTGTTGATTTGAACATCACAAATTGAATTGTGGTTTCTCGATCACTGGACTGTTTCATCAGACCTACACGAAAATACCATCGAAATGCAAAACGGAGAAAACAAGAAACAGGGTACTTACATGTCACTGACAAAGGAGTGCCAACTTTTTTGAGCTGATGAAACTGACTAACAAATAACCTTCTTCTTGTAGAATAAGAAATTCTTGATCCTAACAAAGGGAAGAGTTTCTCTACGGTTGCAGGGAAGGACTTTGAAGTGACAAAGCAAGCATCCATATTGCTTTGAGAATTTCTTGAGTTATTTCTCTTGCAGATTGAAAAGGGTTCCACTAGAAAAGCTGAACTCTATATTGGATAAGTGGATAGAGAGAATTCGTTGTGTTTTATATGGAGAATGTGGTTAAATGTAGACCACAGGAAGCTTTAGAACCAATCCAATCCAAGTAGGATGCTTTTTCACTGTTGGCAGAGTGACTTTCCCAAAAGTATGGGCAAATGGATATGGCTTTACACGTAAGAAGACAGGACAACTGCTGTAGGATTATACGTGTACTTATGCAGAATATTGTTTGGTTGATATGAGCTAGAAGTGGCTAAGGTTTAATCTGCTAAAATCTAGTGCATGTGTTCTGGTACTAGCCACAAAGGTCAGTATGACTTCCTGTTTCTTTAATCTTTTTTTTTTTTTGGTCGTTTCTTTGTTCTTCTTTAATGGGTTGAGCCGTAGACTCGTGTGGTTTCAAAGAAATCGAAAATTCGCACTAACTAGAAACTGAATCAAATCAACTTAGATAAATTATTTTTCTAAATTTGATTCTATGTCCATGGATGGGGCGGCTTTTTAAATTGTATTCCTCCATTAAGAAAGCAGTAAAGCTGCTTTAAAAACCTCCCACTAAAAGGGAATACCAAATCTTATTATTTGGTTCAAGTGTCAAATTACATGAAAGCATAAAAGCTTCTCCAATATAGTCACTACCACCTAAAAGATCAATTAGACAAGCATAATGCTCTAATTCAGAAATAACCCCATAATCTTTCTCCATAGAACAAAAATAAGCTATCCTCATCCACCAAACCAATACAAAGAATTTGTGGTAGAATAGTTGAAATTCCTTCATATTTAATCAAAATTACCGAATTCGAACTCTAGAGAATGAAAACTTTTTTGTTAAGGAGCGCTTTACTCCCCTTGAAAGGCTTACTTGACACAAATCTTAATAAACTTCAGATACCGAATGGTCATACCCTCCCCTCCCACACACACCCCTAAGGGAAAAAAGTGTATAACTCTATGTGCACAAGATACCTAACAATGTCATTTCATCAGGTTTCATGAGAGAAATGGCTAAAAGCCGTGCCTTCTTTCCATATCCATGTAAAGCAAACCATGTATCAACATTCCAAGAAACTAATATATCTCCTCAGACTGTATAAGCAGCATACTTATCAATGAAGGCAATGCAAACTAGAGAATTAACCTTGTACATACTTCTCACAATTGGATCATGCACTCAGTACTCCTTTATCCAAACTAAGCATACAAGATCAGTACAAGCAGCTAGAATACTAATAGAAGCGACAACCTCAAGGCTCAAACCATCTTCCTCCATTCAAATGCACTAACTCAGATGCCTCTACAAGCCTTTTTTCAGCATATCCAGAAATCATCTTGTAATTCATCAGTATGAATTTTGATGTTACGGAGTCAGCGTATTGAACATGATAACTTTCTATTCATCTTATTCTCCTCATTTTTCTTCTCATTATACAAGCCTCATATTCCGAATGGCTTGAGTGCAGAAGCAAATCAAGAATGTTAAGTCAGTGAGTTCAGAGTGCCATTGCATCCACTATTACTTCATAAGTTAGTAGCAACGGTTGCGTATTTAATATTGAATGTGTGTATTTTTCAAAACAATTGAGCTATATACATAGAGCTCAAGATACACTAAAATCTACTCCCCCACGCAATATGCAGGTAACTAACTTTATTAATCTGAACACGAATCTTCCTCAACTCTCACAAGCGTGGGTATTTGGCCACGATCAACAAAATCTATCTTGTTCAATCTAACACAACCAAGCACTTTCTCTGGCAACTCCTCTGGCTTCTGTGCCTGTGGAATTTAGTGAATACCCATGAGCATACATTCACCATTTATAAAGCCAAAAGTAAGCCAACCATCCACAAAACTAATCAGCATCATTTTTTCTTTCTGAAAAAGAAAAATGGAAAATGAGAAATGAGAAACCTGAATTGTTAGACCAAGATCAACTATTCCATGTCGTAAACGTTCTCTAAAAGCATCAAGCCCCTTTCTTGCTATGTAGCTGAAACGATGAATGTCAAGATCAACTTCAAAGTAATCCGGGCCCTGCAATAAGAAGAGATTGTGCACATTGAGAATAAGATGTTGCTAAACTGACTACAGATTAAAGTCATAGTATTGAAGTAAAGATCATTAGATGTGTCCACCTGATAAAAGTTGTGTTGAGGGCGAGAAAGCACAGGCTTTTCATTGTAAGCATTCAAAAGCTTCCTTTCAGTTGCACTTGAAACAAGCTCATCTGGATTAACTAACCCAACCATAATCTTCAATCTCTCTCTGAAAGGAACGATTGACTCTTTTGCAAATCCTTTAACCTTTTCCATGTCATCTTCGATGAATCTCTACAACATAAATCAGTAGCACATTTAAATGCAAAACTAATAGGGAACCAGGGCGTATTGGAAGTTCTCCCATTCCCCTAGTACCACTATCAGGGCTAGATCTGTACCAAGCATGACGAATAACTGCCAAAATTAGTTAAAACATGAGAAAGTTTATTTTGGTTTCTCTTGTTTACTAACTTAGGAAGATTGCTACATATCAACCAGACATTTGAGCAGTTTCTTCCACTCGCATGAACACCTTTCCCAAACTTTGAGTAAAGTAGAAGGAGAAAAGGAAAAACAAAAGGAGAAGAAAAGGTGTTGTTTTTGCTTCAGAAAGATTACATAAATTACCTTGATGAAGTCTTGAAACTGAGGAGAGATGTCCTCCTCAAAACTTTCAGAAAGTTTGAAATATATTACAAGGCTCAAGCCTTCCCCATCAGCATCACCAAGGAACATTGGAGCAGGATAAGTAGGCAACTGACAAAGAAGAAAAACCTTATTACTAATTAGAGTAGGATATTTTATCTAATGAAAACTCCTTTGGTCAGTTGGGAGAGACTGATCTAATACCTGAATGTTAACAATTAGTAATGGAGGTATTCTTCCATCTCCTTTTATAGAAGGAAGCTCAATGTGCTGTGCGATATGATTGATCTTTCTTGGGCAAACAAATAAGTCGACCCCAATTGGAATATAAGGAGACACATTAGGAGCAGGGCATTTCCTCTTATCTCTGCAGATTAAATGAAAAATGTAAAGTAACATGTGTAAAATCCACTACAAAAGTTCAACAACAGTAATAAATTGACAAAGAAAAGGATAAGTTCAGAGCGTACTTGAAATAACTATCACCGCGGAGCTTGAAGTTTGAGGGCTCGATCTTTGACCAACTTCCTGCAAGGGGCTTTTCTTCTCTGCAACAAGGAATTACGAGCCCAGCCCTGGGGCGGAGAAGATACTTTCTTGAAGAACCTACAAGAATACCACTATGTTTAATGTACCATTGAACTAGCTTTCTCAATAGCTTTTCGGAAAAAATAATATACAGTACACAAATGGAAAGTGGGGGAAGTACTCACGATATTCATTCTTTTCTTCTCCATCAACAGATGTCCTCTTCAGAGAAAGCCTTATAATAGTTGATTTCTTTACTTGAGAATGTGGGCCTGAATTTGATGCACAAATGGTTTTGTCGTTGAAACTCAATGAACTAACCAGCTTCGGTAAGACAGACTTGAAAACATTCTCCTGAGTTTTCTCCTGCAATTTATCCTTTTTTACACTTTTAAAACTTGCATAGGCACAATCCAAATTCTTCTTTTTTTTGGTGCCAAGGTCTTCACCCTTCCCTAGGGATGGATCATAGTCTTGAGCACTTACAACTACAAGTCCATTTGGTTCCTGAACTACATCTTTGCTCAAAACCTTCTCGGTTTTACTGCCGTCTATCTTGAGATATTTCTCATGGTATTCTTTGTACTTGAGTTTGCTATCCATAAAGCATGATGAAGTTTCATACTGAAGTACTTGTCCACTTGAAATATTGGGGAAAATATCTACAAGAAGCGAGAAGGAATAGAATGAATAAGTAATAACTTTGTCACTTGGTTCATTAAACTTAAGAAAGAATCATTCTAACATATAGTTTGCCAACTAAACAGTAATGTCGTAATGTTGTCATAGATTCCTATCAGCTTCTGATCTTCTGGAAATGATATAGATCCATCGCCTAAAGAGCATATGATCCGTTATGCACCAATAGTGTCTAACTTCAAAATAATTCTGAAGGAAAACTTACGAAAATATAGAAAAGATTAAGAATTTAGCAATTTCCGGAAAAGATAAGAGAATCATCCAAACAGAAAGAAAGGGACAAGAACTGCCAAAAACATAGGGTAATGAATAAGGTGGTATTCTTCTCTTTTTTTTCCTAAGAATGATGGCCTTCTTAATCCATAGAAAGAAGGTCATCAATTATAAGTATCACTTAAACACATTCAAGAACAGCAAAACAAAATTGGAAATTGACATCAAAACACAACTAAATATGCCCAACATCAATGATCATTACCTCCATGAATACTACTGAAGTCATCATCTGAGTCGGACTCCAAAATGCTGTGCGTGTCAAACCATGCTTCTTCTTGGCAAAGAACTGTTAGCATGTAAATATCTCATCATTTTCAAGCTTAAGGTTCAAAACTTTTTCATTGTCAAGTTCTTAATCACACAAACTCCAGTTGCTAATAAGACGCTTTCAAGAGAGAATATCCCTTTTCTTTTTCCTCATTGCGAACAAGAAAAACATCAGAATTAACACAACCACTAATCTATCAAAGGTAAAAAAAAGGATGACAGAATGCAAAACTTTTAGCAGGATATACTCTTTTGATACCAGTGCCCTAACCGAATGAAACATATTCTGCCCAACAACAAAATAGCAACTCCAGAAGACGTTGAAAAGAACTTATTTTGTGAGATCAAATGGGAAATATCATTTTGATGGAGTATACTAAGGTGACATTTCACTTGTCTAGGATGATCCGTTCAAAAGAGATCAAGTACTTATCACTTCAAGGATTTAATCAGGTAGGTTTCTCATCGAACATAGGCATATGATATCAAAAGATAATAAGGTTCAAAATGAAAAAAGAGAGTATACCATTAGCATCTATTTGACTATGTTGCCACTGCAACTGAGTAAGATGGAATGTGGAACTGGAAACCTCAGATCTTCCGGAGGTTGTAGTTGTATGAACAAACTCACTAACAGCAATATCTGTCACCCGTGCATCGCTGTTTCTTTTCCTGGTTCCTACTAGACCTGAGTTTGAATTCTTTCTATGGTATTTTCTGTGGCGATGATGGTGTTTCTTCCTTACCCTGATTGTGTTTGCTGGAGTTGATACACAACCACCCATTATTATGACTCAGCTCACAAATCCCACTGCGAATTGCTGCTGCACCATGCGAAGATGCAAATTCCAAGTTTAACACAAGAAATTAAGTATACCTGGCACGAGAACAAGAAAAACTTTGAAATTGATTATACAACTCCATAGCATTTCAAAATGTGACAATTCAAAATAAGAACTATAATAATCTGTCCAAGGTCTATGTTAAAACCGAAGTTGTAAACACATACAAAGATGGAACAATTAGAAAGGACTTGAAATTTTGATGCAAAACATTATATGCATTCTTGATTCCTGGACTACACAAAGCTTACCTTAAAGGAATATTAATATCTGGAACTAACAGTACAATCTACAATGCTCCACCTTTCACAAGAGTGAACAAGAAAAAAGAACTGCTGTCGCTAATCTCAATAAAAGCTCACAAATTTGTTCATCACACGTTACCGGGACTTACAAAGAAGCGTTCAGGTAAATCCACATATATAAATTGATCTTGATTTAGCAGTTCTCAAATCTTATATACTAGAATAAAACTCAAAAAGATGGGACAAAAGCAGCTTTTAACAGGGCTTAAAAGCAGTGAACCTTATAAGACACATTTAAAAATAAGGAATCACCAAGAATATTACTGACATACAAAGCAAACAAGGTGCACAAAGATGGCTAAGTACAAAGGAACAATGAAACAAACTTTAATAATTTCATGTGATTGCAGATAAAAAAAAGCAAAAAAAAAAAAAAAATTGGAGACATAACTGAAAAGGTGAACATAAAGTAGCAGGATCAAATATGTGATAACTAATAAGCTGCTTTTCCATTTCATTTTTTATTTTTTTTATTTTTTTTCTTGTCCTGACTTTATGAAATCGTTGATGATGAAAAAGGATGGAATGAACATGACCTTGTTTTCACTTTCAGAGGCTTAATTAGACAAAAGATGTCAGATTATTATAGACATAAGAAAAAGGGAAAAGGAGAACGAAGAAAATGGGTCCACATTAAGATCATATAACAAGCAAACAAACAAAAGAATAACAACAAAATTGTTGTTAGTATAACAGAAAAAAAGGAATAAAAATAACAATGCAAATGCGTAGGGAAGCAGAAAAAGCCAAAATATATAGAATGAAAACAAATAAAAAATATGGGAAACAAAGATCAGAACTAAAAACTCACAATACAACAAGCTACTAATCAACAGGTCAGGAAATACCTAGGTAGGAGGATGAAGACGTTAAACACGAGTTAAACAAAATTAAAGCCTCGTTCTTTGAGCAATAATATAAACAATCAACCATGAATTTTCAAAAGAACCCATCTTTAAACCCTTCAAAAATTATGACAAAAAAGCACCTACATCTCAATCTCGAACTAATTATAGTTCTTTTTATATATACTCGTTATTTGAACCTGTCTAAGCATGGACAGAGCTATGAGGCGATGGGAAGGTTCCTTCGCCGGAAAATTACATTATATAAATAAGGTAAATTTATTTTTTTATATTTTTTATGTTAAATCTCTGGCTTCTTGGCGTATTTTCCTTCTTCTTTTTTTTGAATCTCCCCATAAAAATCTTACCTCCGCCATTGTCTTTAAGTACAGAAAAAAGGATTACAAAAGAATGCAGAAAAAACTGTAAAAGAAGCACGAAAATAACAAGGCTAAGTAGCTGTGTGATCCAAAAAATGCAGAAATGAAGCACACCTTATATAAAAATGCTGGATGCGCAACATCAGCAACATATAATTAATTATGTGAAAAAATTATGTACGTACCTTTTTGGGTATTGAATGAAAAAAAAGATGATTAACAACGAAGAGACGTGAATGTGGGTCTCCCTCTCTTTTGAAAGAAGAAGAAGAAGGAAGCAAAACTCAAGAACCAGAGGGAGAGAGAGGGAGAGAGAGCTAGCGAATGGGTCCGACGGGTCGGATCCAAGCTCTTTTTCTAAAGCTTCTCTCCTTTTTCAAGCAGCTGTTCTATTTTTCGGATTTTTATATTTTTCTGAGTATATTTTTCCTGTTTATATGTGTATGGATTTGACAGAGATAGATAATATACAGAGAGAGAATTCAGAATTCAGAGGAATCAGGAAAGGAAGAAGAAGAAGAAGAAGAGGGACAAGAAGGTCAATTTAACTACGTCTAAGAGTGCGTGCGTTTGTTTATTTGATGTATATGTAGTCCCGCCTGTCCCCAACCAAATCATTATTACAAGCCTCCGTCCCTTTCTCTGCCCCCACCCCCCTCTGTCGAGGTATTATTACTGGAATTTGTTTTTTTAATAAAACATTAATTATTTTTGTTGTCAAAAGAAGACCATTTATTTTGCATCTCGTAATTTCTTTTTTTGCCATATTATCCACGAAATTTATTGCATGTACATGCAGTTTTAAATCAACTTTAAGTATATTTCTGAGAATTTATGCAAAATACTCATATTGGTTTAAACCAAGCTAGTATACACCGACAAATTTTACTTAAGTTTTTTTTTTAGTTTGTAATGTCAATTGCTATCTTTTTTTAATGTCACATAATGTTCTTTCTTTCAGTCTCAGGTCCATATAATGGAATAAATTATTTTAAATTAGTAACAGTGATTGCAATAGTATTATTAGTAATTCAAAATGAGATTAATCTCATCTATATATATCTAGTTATATTTATGTGTGTGTATATATATATATATATTGAGTCGAAATAAATAAATTTCTTAAATTTGATTAATTTATAGGAGTCCATATTTAGGCAAGTCGATGAATAAATAGCCAGAGTCAAGAGCTCTCACTGCCATTGACTCTGTGATCACATGTACATTGTAATGCTAAATTCATTTCTTTAATTTCAGCTACGTACCACTCCGATCCCAAAGAAACAAACCATGCATGTGCGTCAAGCCATGCATGTTACAGCCTTAACTTTAGGTAGCTCAATGTAAAATAACATATTTTTTGCCGAATTCATGTAAATTTAGTTCAAGTTTTATATTCTTCTAAAAATTTTATTAAAAATATATGTATTATTAATTTAAAAGTCAATAACTTAAAAGAACTAGAATCTCAAAGTCAAGATGATCTTCTAAGTCCATTGCCAGCATCTCAAACGATCATATTGCCAGCCTTATAATAACTAAATTCATATGCAGAAAAGAAGTTTTTGGAGGAATGTTATTCGTATCTAATTGTGATCCTTCGATATATCTCTTAAAAGCTAGAAAAAAAGATACATCTAAACCAGGGAACAAAATATATTTAGAGAAGAATTACATGTCTATCCAAAAGATTAATATACATAGAGAGAGAAATATTTTCTTCAATTTGCAAAAGACCAATTAAGGGAATTTTGAATCTTTCTCCTTCTTCAAAGTGACGTATTCTATTCATTTATACTGGGTCAATTAATTTTAATTGGTCAGGAAAAATAGGAATAGTTATTAAGCTTTAACCGTGCATGTGTATAAAGTTATATATGCACGGCTACAAGTATTATAGCATGTGATCTTATTAACCAAACTGTCTTAATTAAAGGGATTTAGGTTGAGATCGTGAGACTTCAAAGAATATAAAAGAGCATACGTATTTCATTAACCTTTTAAGTATACATATATAAACAAGATGTTTATATTCCACTAAGTAAAGGATCACAGACAAAAACAAAAGGTTACAGAAAGTGCTACGTTGTGAGTAACTATATGCGGTCAAAACCGAGTTTGCACTTCGTGTGATTAATCGAGATTGGAGCATGATGGACCGAGATTCGTCATTGTAATATCGAGCTATGATGTGAAGTCGGGCTGCTGAGTTCGAGCCCTAGAAACCGACTAAGGTCGGGATCAGCCAAGATCGATATCGAGCCCAGATAGAGGTCGAGCAAATAGAGACCGATCGATACCGAAATCAGCCGAGACCGAGATCGAGCCCATATAGATGTCGAGCAAATAGAGGCCGATCACGATCGAGAGCGACCGAGTTCGGGCTCGAGCCAAGGGACAAAAGAGCCGTTATAATCGCATTTGCGGAGAGAATCTCGGCGGAAATTAAGGAAAAGCTAATTAATTGATCTATCATGGGATCTCCGCTATATATTTTTAATTATATTCAAAGTACGATTCCTCCACTATATTAAGAGTAGGTTATCATTGATTCAGGTGACTCAATTTATTCATTCACAGATTAATTCATATATTCATACACTCTCAATTAGCAAATATTATCCTTTTTGGGGCTTTTGATATTGATCTATCTTGTTCATTTATAAATTATTTTTTACTCAATTTGGGTTTGTATTCATTCCTTTTTACAGTCAATATTCGATATATTTCTACTTATTTTTTTGATTTGTACTAAGTTACCCCACGTATCCTCAGAACCACATATAAATTCAACTCTATCCGTTTTTCGATTAAACAGTTTGGCGCCTACCGTGGGGCTGAAGATAACAGTGGTTATTTGGTACGAATCTCTGCAAAACACATTATTTTACACTTGCTCTTAGAAGTGTCTTTGATTTCAGGTTAAAAACGACAAACTCTCAATTAATGGCCCTACATATCGACAACGAAGTTGGCCTTCAAGATGAGAACAACAACCTGACGACCGAGATGAAAGGCCACTCGTCAATCCCGTTGGAACTCGGGCCGCAGATCCAATCGACGTTAATTCACATGTGGCTATCGAGGCGAACCAACGTTCCGACCCCGAAAACACCATTCATGGTGGAACTCGATCTGCAGTTCGAAATACCCAAAATATTGGAGAAGACGGGATCAACCTGCGTATGATTTTCGAAATGTTGCAAGCTCACCAGGTAGCAATAGCTCAGTTGCAGAGCCAAACCTAGGCACCGAGCAGAGCCGAGCCCAGTCCACCCCGAGAAGTCATCGACAAATGGGGCCAGCTGTAGTAAGATCAAATGAACAAAAATCGGGGACTAATCTCGAAATCATTAGGATGCTCGAGGAACTAACAAAACGAATTGAGTCAGGAGAAAAGAGGATTGAAGCAAACGACAAAAAAGTAAAAAGTTATAACTCCAGGGTTGATTAGATCCCGGGGGCACCACCGGTATTGAAGGGCTTGGATTCCAAAAATTTCGTACAAAAGCCTTTCCCCCCGAGAGCGGCTCCCAAACCGATCCCCAAGAAGTTCCGCATGCCCCGAAATTCCTAAATATAATAAGACGAGCGACCCCAACGAACATGTCACCTCTTACACATGTGCCATTAAAGGGAACGATCTAGAAGACGACGAGATCAAATCCGTATTATTGAAGAAGTTTGGGGAAACCCTATCAAAGGGGACAATGGTATTGTATCATAATTTATCGCTTAACTCTATCGATTCTTTTGCTATGCTTGCAGATTCTTTCATAAAAGCACATGCTAGAGCCATAAAGGTCGAGACCAGGAAGTCAGACCTTTTTAAGGTAAAGCAAAAAGATAACGAGATGCTAAGAGAGTTCGTATCTCGTTTCCAAATGGAGTGAATGGATCTACCACCGGTCACGGACGATTGGGTTGTTCAAGCTTTCACTCAAGGACTGAACGAACGAAGCTCGATGGCTTCACGGCAGTTGAAGCAGAACTTGATTGAGTACCCGGTTGTTACCTGGGCTGATGTACACAATCGATATCAATCGAAGATTAGAGTCAAAGACGACCAGTTGGGTTCTGGGTCCGTTATTAAAAGGGACATCGACCGAGAACCAAGGTCAAACAAG